CCTGGCGGGCAGGGCTGCACCAGCAGGGCCTGTCACCTCCCCTCTGGCATCTGCTGATGCAGATGATGAGGCTGCCCTGGGGGTGTGTCAGAGGGTCCTGATCTACCACAGGACTGTCACGCCTGAGAGGGCTCTCATCTGAAGACCATGTATGTTTTGGTATTGCCAAATGTTTTGTGGTGTTAATCCTTTGAGTGCTCATTTTCATAGATTTACATCATTGTTTCTTTAAATATGAGGTTTAGTAAAAATAAAAATTTTGAGAAAAAAAATGACAGTGTTTGGAAGTGTAGTAATATTTTAAAGTTAATCCAACACATCATCCAAAAGCAAGCAGTTTCCTGAATATAAAAGCGTCTTTTCTAAACGATAATTTGAGGATTGGTTATTTGGAGCCTAGAAGGTGCATTCCCGTGACAGTGATGTCCTGAGAGGCACCTGGGGCTGTGCGTGAGCCAGCCTTGTGCAGACCCCACAGGGCACAGACCTGGGACCCCCCCTGACCGCCACATCCCATGCAGGCACCGTGGATCATGCATGTTAGGATCCCCAGCTAGCCTCTGCTCCAAAGATGCTGTGCTGTTCTCTAGTCTAGATAAGATGGGTGGGAGGGCAAATCCCAAAACTCACCTAGGAAGAAAAAGATTCTGGAAAGACAGTGTAACTTAAGGCCTGATGGGTGGATAAGGGGAAGAAAGAAGAAACTCTGGATTCCAGGATGTATCAACTGCAAAGGCTTGTGAGGGACAGCGGATGTGACAGGAAGAATGTTAGTGGCAGGTGTGCCTAGTAAGTCAGAGATGGGAAAGGAAGAAGAGAAGGAATTTTTGGGCTAGGGAGCAGCATGTGGTAACGGCAGGGTGGCCGGAGGATGGTGTGTCTGGCAGAGTGGCCCAGTGGTAGGAGCGGCAGGAGGTCCTCACCTTTGGACCGCTTATTCCTGTCTTCTCCATCTGGACATTGACGTCCAGACTGGAAAGAGGTACACAGATGCTGTTAGGAGGATACTGAATGCTTTAAATGAGTGTGTCTCTGAGGCCAGACCATATAGAGTCAGGGCACAGGGTTCCTGGGGACCCCTGGGGCACCAAGAGGCCAGCAAAGCAGGGCAAACAGCAGTTAGAGGTGGGCAGACTTGAGCTGTGCCTTGGTACAATTTTGAGTTAGTTATTAGATGAAGGAGTGCTAAAAACTGAGGCCCTCTGACAATAGGTGTGTGAGAAAGACCTTTTCAGGATGGAGCTGTGAGTGAGGAGGGCCCTGGGGAGGAACTGCAGCTGAGGATACCGGAGGAGGTGGCCGCCCTGGCAGGCAGCTAGGCAGCCGGCCGCCTGGAGTAAATGAGTTAGAACAGCCCTGCCTTCTGGTATCACAGTTTCTCGTGTGTGAGCATGCTCGGCTTGGACTCTGCATGGCCACTGGGGGTGTCTGTGGTTCAGTAAGAGTTTACAGGTCACCATGGAGGCCTCGGAACAAGGCTGACCAGAGTGGGGATCTGATAATTAATGTTGGCAGAGGCAGAGATGCTGCCGCTGAGGCCTGGCTTCTGTGACTCCTTGTTAAGGGGACGGAAGAATGGCTTGAGAGGGCGCCATTTAGAAAAACCCTGCAAGTCGGTGGAAGGAGGTCTCAAGCCAGCGTCCAGCGTGTGTGAGAGCGGTCCTCAGGCCCGGGGTCAGTGGGAGACCGCCTGCACGGCCAGGCCTTCTTCTGAGTGCCTCAGGCCTCGCTCGGCGCTTCCCCACCGCCATCCTGGGCTGGGGTCAAGGTAGAGGGCTGGTCCGTGCCCCCCAGGAGCCCGTTCCTCACCCTGGGAGACGAGCTTGGCCTTGAAGGGTGGGGAGGACTTCAGTGGCTGCGTGTGTCCACAAAAGGGGCCTGGGGGGCTGCTCGAGGGCTGGGAGTGGGGGAAGCCTGGCAGAACCGTCAGGAAGCCTCGCCTTGTGTGGAACCAGAGGTGTCAACGCTCGGGGTCACACCATTCCTACTTTAGCTTTGGAGGTCTGTCTTCTAGAAATGAATCCCTTCATTGAGCTCTTTAGAAACCCATGTAACCAGCAAGTGGTTCCCACAGCCCTTCTCAGGGTGAGGGTCCTTTTCTCCCCTCCTGCTGTTTCAGTGCCTGTTCTGTTTTCCTGTTGTCTCGGTGATGAAGCTGGTGTCTTCTGCTTTCTCATGAAAAGTTTCGTATCTGTGGGGTATTTTCCATCCACTGCTTCTGCTTAGCCAGGTCCATTTCACTAAATTTTCATGTAATTTTTTGAAACTCTTATTCTAAAGCTCTTTCTAAGACTTTAGAATGTGATAATGCAAGGTGATTTATAAGTGTGGTTTTTTATGTCAGTATGTTCAGACACAGTGTCTGTAGTTTTGACTCTCTCCAGCCTCTGCCTTAGCTGCTCAGTCCCAGGTTACCTCCACATCTGCTTCTTGCCTTTCTGCCTGCGGTGGCTCCGGGCGCGTGTTCCCTCTGAGAACACGGCTTTCACTGCCCTGTCCTGCTCCAGCCCTGGCAGCTCTGTGCAGTGCAGAAATCACTAGTCCTGTAACCCACATTCTTAGAGGGTGCAGCCGTGTGCGCTTACTTGCCTTGCGACCCCATGGACTGTAGCCACCAGGCTTCTCTGTCCATGGGGATTCTCCAGGCAAGAATCCTGGAGTGGGTTACCATTCTCTTCTCCAGGGGATCTTTCCAGCTCTGGGATCTAACCCACATCTCCTGTGTCTCCTGCATTGCAGGTGGATTCTTTACCCAGTGACTCATCGGGAAAAACCCCGATGCTGGGAAAGATTGAAGGCAAAAGGAAAAGGGGGTGGCAGAAGTTAAGATGATTAGATAGCATCACCGACTCAATGGACATGAATCTGAGCAAATTCTGGAAGATAGTGAAGGACAGGGAAGCCTGGCATGCTGCAATCTATGGGGTTGTGAAGAGTCAGACATGACTTAGCAACTGAACAACAATAGCAAGAGTGTGGATCCAGTTTTGTGAGTCACTCCTGCATGAGACAAAGAATGTATGTGTTCACAGGTAGCAATGAAGGAAGGAAACCTTCATTTCACCTCTGTGTGTTTACAGCATGATGTCTAGGCCATGATGTGAGCTGTATGTCATATTCAAATACGTTTGAAAGTCCCTGCAGTACTCTAATATACTGCTAAGCTTTTATGAAAGAAAGGTCATTTATCATCTGTCTCCAGTAAAATGGTGTGGGCCTTGGGGAATTAGCTGTCACCAGGCCAGGCAGGGCCCCCAGGAGTGCTGTAAAGGCTGTCGGGTCAGAGGGCAGGGGTCACTGAGGAGAGCGTGAGTGGGTCATCCCATCTTTGGAGGCTAAAGAACGGTGGGTTTTTGTGACAGCTTCCCTTCCACTGCTCTGTGGTCCCTCGGATCTCAGCTCAGATGCTCCTTCCCCAGGGGGCCTCCCCTGGCCGCTCTTCACATCTAGATCAGGCTCCTCTGTTAGATGCCTGCATAGAACTACAGTCCTCACTATCTGAGTACTTAGCTCAGGTTTCAATGCTGCAGTTGCTAGCATGGTCATTATCTTCTTGTCTGGACCCACCACCCCGCCACCAGTCTCCCAGAGCATGACTTTCACAGGCAGGCATCAGCTCTGTTTTTGTTGATGGACCTGCAGGAGCCAATGAGATGCCTAGCACATAGTCAACATTTGGTACACAGTGATGGCGTGAGGCCAGGACAGGGACACCCCAGTCCCAGAGCTGATCCACGTGAGTCACCCATAAAGCCCTCTGCTGCCTTATTGCAGAAAGGGTTCAGGGGTCTCATGACACAAGGGGATTGAAGGACCAGGAACTCAGCAGGAGCCTTGATCCCAACCCCTATACACAGGACAGCCCCCCTACCCCCCACCAACCAGGCCACTTCCTGCTGAGCCTAGTTCTCCGGGCAAGAAGCAGAACTAGAGACAGCATCTCATGGGTGATGGTCCTTTCTCTGGCTAGAGATGGGGCACTATACTTCCAAGTTCCTTGTTGCAGTGAAGAGTTTTCAGGCCATTAAGCAAGTTAGTTTAATGGGAACCAGCCTATTTGAATTCTAGGTCAGTGCTGCTGGGGTAGATTTTGGCAGGGCTTCTGATTCGTGTAGCCGGGGAGGGGTGAGCTCACATGGTGAGGAGGAGGAGCTGGAGTGCTGGAGCCCCGGGTGAAGGCAGAAGTGGGGAGAGTGGAGGATCCATAAGTACTTCTAGGGCTGTCAGCATGGAAAACATGGGCTAGAAACATTTTATCTTAGGCTGAAGAGAATGCGGGCAGGTGGGCTGGCTCCCATAACCCGATGTTTATCAGAGACTGAGAATTGTTCACGGTCTGGGATCTCATGGGTTTTGAAATTGCTTTCCCATTTGAGAGACTTCTGTGACCCCCCAGCATCATTTCCATGGCAACCAGCTGAGATGAGATGGGGCTTTTGACCTTGCAGGACAATTGTAACAGGAAGCGGATGGGCTTTTATATAGAAAATTTACTCTATGACCTGGAACAAATCACATATAACTGCATCTCAGTTTCCTCATCTCTGCAATATAGAAAGGAACATGGCATTCTTTTGATGGTTGTTTGGAGGACACCTGATGTCACATGATGGGATACCTTACTTTCATTTATTTGTTCAGAAACTTTGTCACTGTGTCTGAGGTGCTTTTGGTGTTACCGTAAGCCCTGGGAAGGTGGGACAAGCATAGTATTTCTTTTTGTATGAAGTGTAAGTGGTGCCATTCTCCTGGATATTTGGGCATAGAATTCTGTTCACTGGACAGATGCTTGAAATCTGGGTTTTGACTTTCACATTGCACACTGTAACGGTTGAGTTACTGCTGCTTGTCCGGGCCATTCTCGGGTAGCCCGCTGGTTCAGACTGCCACCAGCTGCAGCCCTGGTGCTGCTCCTTGAAGTCACGCTGATGCGCGGCCCACGTGCTGAGCTCTCTGGTCCCTCATGCCCGCATCCCACACTCTCGCTCTGCTCCTTGCAGGGAAAGTGCGATGGCGGGACTTTAACCAGGAGGCTTACGTTGGCGGGACAATGGTCCGCTCCGGGCAGGACCCCTATGCACGCAACAAGTTCAACCAAGTGGAGAGCGATAAGCTGCGGATGGACAGAGCAGTTCCCGACACTAGGCATGACCAGTAAGTGTCAGCCCCCGGCTGGGCGCCACCGTGACCGCTTCCTGTCTGACAGTGAGTAACTTCCGTTGGGATGCTTGTTTCTCCTGTTAACTCTGCAAATCAGTGTGTGCCGTGTCTTCACAGGGTCGGAAAACTAGGAAAAGTTTGAGGCATGTTGCAATGACACTTCACCTGCAAGAAGTGGAAGCGCTGCTTGAGGTCAAGTTCCGTCCTCCTGACCCCCCTGGCGTGTCCCAGCTGCTGGTCAGAGCGTGACAGCCACCAGGAGAAATGTGTTCCTGCCCTTGTGTGCACTGGGCACTCATTTTAAAAATCCATTCACAAAGCAATTTTGTTGTTCACAACCTTCCTGGAAAAAAAGAGTCTTGCTTACTGGGAAGCTTAAAGCTGGGAATGTTCTAGAGACCAGTAAAGAGAACAAAACAGCACCTCAGGGTTGAAGTTAAATTGAGAATAAGCTTGGAGGTAGGGTCCCGGGGCTGTCTCCCCACTCCAAGTGCTCCGGGCACAGGCTGTGATCTGCATCCGTCCCTTGATTCTCGGGAACCAAGGGGTTCTCAGGCACAGCATGGGAGGCCTCCAGACCCCCAATGTGCGTTTGTCACCACTGACCGTGGAGGTGATAACGTGACCCTCACTGCTGCTCTGTGCCTTTGAGCCTTGCTGGCAACCACCTCTCATTGGAAGGCTGTTCACATTGGGGGCCTTAGAGGGTTAATCTGGTTTTATGATAAAATAATGAGCTGCTTTTGGAGGGTAGCTGTTTCCCTGGATGCTGCTAGTCCTTCCTGCTCACCAGGCTTCTTTTAGAGTTGTCCATCCGTTATGTAAAGGTACGTGGCTGCCACATCCACTGTGATGCAGACGCCGAGCTTGGATCCTGGGGTTCCCGCAGAGCAACCTCTCCTGCTGTGCCCGATGGAGAGGACAGGAGATGGGGTGCAGGCGGAGGTGCATGGCAGCGTGCCCTTGGACAGTCTGCCCCAGACCAGTGCGTTTAGGACACTCAGGCAATGAACATCTAGGAGAGTCTTGAACTGTAGGCATCCAGGCAGGAGGCCAGTGACCAGGCCTGACAGGAAGCTCTGGGCCTGCAGAGTGCCAGCTGGGGTTCCATGCCTCTGGCTGCCAGTTCTGGGGACTGAAGGGCCAGTGAGCTGGAGAGACAAGCCATCAGGCTCCACATGAACACATGTTCATGCTTTTCCTCTTCTTTGCTGATTTCAGGGGAGTTTTGTAACTGTGTGCGCACCAGTCAGTCACACAGACACACTCTCCCTGCTCTTACAAGCTGGTCTTTTTGGGGGGTGGGGTTGTAGTCAACTCTGTGTACCCAGAGCAGCTCACAAGTGTATACAATTACAGTTCTTTCAGACTCAGGACGTTGTGTGTGTGTCTGTGTGTGTGTGTGAGAGAGAGATAATATATGAAACATATCATCAGTATATAAACATATATATTGTACATGACACTAAGAATCTCATCATTTTTCTAAATTCAGCCTAAAAGATTGTCTTTGCTTAGTATTTCTTATAACCTACTAATTTATGTTTCAGGCAGCTTTACTAAGCCCCTGTGATGGGCTGCTGGTTGGAGTCAGCATGGGTAACTGGTAAGCACCCTGTCTAGAATAGAAGTTCCTGAGCTAGGATTGAAGGACCCGTGGTCTCTGGGTGCAAGGCCCCGAAGCTGGGGCATGGCCATAGGGGGTGCTGCCTGCATGTCTGGGGAGGGTCGCAGGGGCCTGCGTCCCCACCACTCTCACCCCTTGGCTCTCTGAGCCCTGTGGACCCGTCCTGTGCCAGTCAGTCACATAGTCATGGCTCAGGACATGAAGGTTGTCCTCACTGTACAGAGAGCAATGTTTATAATGCGCCCTGTGCTGGGAGCGGTGGCTGAGGCCAGGAGGAGTTAGCATGGTTTTTACTTAGGACACACTCTGGGATTTGGCCTAAACTCAGGAGAGAGATTCAAGTTCTAGCAGAATCTAGCTCAAAAATTGTTCCTGATGACTGGAATCCACCACTTAGCATGACATTTCCGTGAGGTGGTGTGAGTTTTCTTTTACTTTTTGGTTTAAGAGCTGTTTTCCTGTGTGACCTTTCCTCAGCAGGCGGAGGTGCATGGCAGCGTGCCCTTGGACAGTCTGCCCCAGACCAGTGCGTTTAGGACACTCAGGCAATGAACATCTAGGAGAGTCTTGAACTGTAGGCATCCAGGCAGGAGGCCAGTGACCAGGCCTGACAGGAAGCTCTGGGCCTGCAGAGTGCCAGCTGGGGTTCCATGCCTCTGGCTGCCAGTTCTGGGGACTGAAGGGCCAGTGAGCTGGAGAGACAAGCCATCAGGCTCCACATGAACACATGTTCATGCTTTTCCTCTTCTTTGCTGATTTCAGGGGAGTTTTGTAACTGTGTGCGCACCAGTCAGTCACACAGACACACTCTCCCTGCTCTTACAAGCTGGTCTTTTTGGGGGGTGGGGTTGTAGTCAACTCTGTGTACCCAGAGCAGCTCACAAGTGTATACAATTACAGTTCTTTCAGACTCAGGACGTTGTGTGTGTGTCTGTGTGTGTGTGTGAGAGAGAGATAATATATGAAACATATCATCAGTATATAAACATATATATTGTACATGACACTAAGAATCTCATCATTTTTCTAAATTCAGCCTAAAAGATTGTCTTTGCTTAGTATTTCTTATAACCTACTAATTTATGTTTCAGGCAGCTTTACTAAGCCCCTGTGATGGGCTGCTGGTTGGAGTCAGCATGGGTAACTGGTAAGCACCCTGTCTAGAATAGAAGTTCCTGAGCTAGGATTGAAGGACCCGTGGTCTCTGGGTGCAAGGCCCCGAAGCTGGGGCATGGCCATAGGGGGTGCTGCCTGCATGTCTGGGGAGGGTCGCAGGGGCCTGCGTCCCCACCACTCTCACCCCTTGGCTCTCTGAGCCCTGTGGACCCGTCCTGTGCCAGTCAGTCACATAGTCATGGCTCAGGACATGAAGGTTGTCCTCACTGTACAGAGAGCAATGTTTATAATGCGCCCTGTGCTGGGAGCGGTGGCTGAGGCCAGGAGGAGTTAGCATGGTTTTTACTTAGGACACAGTCTGGGATTTGGCCTAAACTCAGGAGAGAGATTCAAGTTCTAGCAGAATCTAGCTCAAAAATTGTTCCTGATGACTGGAATCCACCACTTAGCATGACATTTCCGTGAGGTGGTGTGAGTTTTCTTTTACTTTTTGGTTTAAGAGCTGTTTTCCTGTGTGACCTTTCCTCACAGCTTAGAAAAAATGGTGTTCTTTCTGATGCTCAGCAGTGTGCAGACTGGAGTTCTGTCTCCACCTCAGGTCCCTTAAATATTCCCAAAACTATACATATTTTTTCAGTTTTTGAAATATGAGTGTGTCCAAACAGATGTTTGAATATTCATCCTGCAGTGGGCTGTGTTTTAGGTGGCTTTAATTTTAGCTCCAGCTACTGTGTCGTGTTCATCTGCATGTGCAAAAGGAGCAGCTGGGATGCCTGCCACATTTGTTGGATTTGGGCTAAATTAAAATCTCCCCAAAGTCAATTTGATGCCTGGAATTGAGCCAACGTCCTGTCTGCAAAGACTCAGCTTTAGAACAGCCAGTATTATTGAATGTCAGGCTAAGGAGATTAAGTTACTGATTTGAATCCCACTCCTAACCCATATCTAATAGAGGGCTGTTAAAGCATTTGACATTCCTGTATAAATACCATATTTTCGGCTCTGCAGCATCTCCCTTTGTGTAGACCGATTGAAATGGTTGCCCTATGGAATTCAGTCTTTACTTATGATAAATCTGAAAGCAGTGCAGGCAGAGGTTAAGAACAAGGGTTTGGGAGTCATAGAGACCTTGTTCAAAATCCCATTTCTCCAATTCCGAATCCTGTGGCCTGTGTCATTTATGAAATACTGTGACATTATGACATTATGATCTGGTTACTGTGAGGATTAAAGGAAATGTTCCCAAAGGCTGGCTCCTCCTCCCCTGAGATTTTGTTCTAGACCCGCCTCCTTTGACCTCCTGCCCTGGGAGTGAGGTCTCAACCTCTCCCTGCAGCATCCGCACCCACTTCTCTGGCTGATTCTTCTCCATGATCTTTATCACCACCTACATACCTTGTGTCTCACCTATTTGTATGTTGATCTGAATGTACTCATTAAGGTAGTGGGCTATTCAGTTCGATTCAGTTCAGTTGCTCAGTCATGTCCGACTCTTTGCTACCCCATGGACTGTAGCACAACAGGCCTCCCTGTCCATCACCAGCTCCCGGAGCTTGCTCAAACTCATGACAAACTCAAACACATGGCATTGAGTCAGTAATGCCATCCAGCCATCTCATCCTCTGGTGTCCCCTTCTCCTCCTGCCTTCAATCTTTCCCAGCATCAGGGTCTTTTCCAATGAGTCAGTTCTTCATATCAGGTGGCCAAAGTATTGGAGCTTCAGCTTCAGCATCAGTCCTTCCAGTGA